TAATTTTTGTTGAATTATTTCGATTTGGGTGATCATTAAAGTTTGTTGCTCCATATTCTTCATTTTTTTAGGTTGTCATCAAAGGTTAGCTAGGTATAGTTTAATTGGTAGTCTTTTGAATGGAAAATTTTTAATATGCATCTCATTTTCTTGCATGAAATTATTAGTTGCATTAGGAAATCTAGAACTTAATTAGTTATGCGTTTCTTTTGTGAGGGAAAGATTTCCTAATAATTTTCTGTCATGAACATCACATCAACATGGCTGGCCCCACCAGTTGACTAAGTTAATGTCGATTATGGATGGTGGGATTAAAAACTAATACATGAAAGCACATTTCATTCATGTGGCACCAAATCATCTACCATATGGTAGGTTCAGGTTTACTACATCTGTCAGAGGATCCCATAAGTGTTGATTTGGTCAAGCCTAAGTCAAAGGTAGTAGATCCAATTGATGCTTACATTGGATACCCTCAACATGTCAATATTATTGATGTCCACGTGTGAGAATTAGAGGTCACGTGATAAAGTAAATAGACAAGTATTAGTTTCTGAATTGGCGATGTTACCCATTTATGAACATGATGCAAAATTCCTCAGATGTTTCCTTAGTAGGAACTTGTAGAAAAAATCCAATTTTTTTTTTGAAAATTGCTAATGACCCTCTAGTAGGACCATGATGCAAAAATTTTTTTTTTTTTTAAATTTATTTATTTAACTATTTCGGACTACTTAATGAATTTCATGAAGTTAATAAAAAATTGGAGAAAATCTGAAAAAATAGATATATTTATGACTCAAGTTCTTTTTTGCTTGGATGATATGTTGAGCCATTATTTGTCTTAAAGTTAATCAAGTACATTGCCTCAAAAAGTGTGATGATGCATCGTAGTTTGTCACTGTCAAAAGTGTGACAACAGTTATAGCCTTTTAAGGCATTGATAATAATACAAAAATATTAAGGGCCATTCCATGGTGGTTTCAAGGAACCTTGATAAAATTATATGATTGTGAGGAACATAAAAATTCCTCATTATTTGTTCCAAGGCACCATAAACTCTATGTTTGCACCTGTTAACATACTTAAGCTTGAATGCTCTATTAAAGATGTATATGACCCTAAAACTCTATAAAAGCTTCATGCTCTCACCATGGTTAAACTACCCATGTTCAAGAAACCCTACTGTAAATCAAAGTTTGTCAAATATTTAGTTGCATCATACATGCCCAGTGACTTTGAGTTGTTTAGTCTATTTGGGGTATCAAGCTCTTTACTGGTAAAAAGAGCCTGATATCCCATGAAAAGCTAGTCATTTGCATCAAGCCCTCTATCCTTAAGGGATTGCCTTTGGATGAGATAACTCATATTTACTAACAAGGCACCTAATATTAGCAGCTAAGCCTCATTGACGAGAGGTCAAAATCAGCTAGCTAACTTCTTGTTGGTGGTTACATGTTCCTTGAGCTTAGGCCAACAGTTACAAAGCATGGCTCCCTAACTCAAAGCTATCATCACAACCACTGCTATCTGACTTCTTGGAATGAGGATCACACAGACTCGATAAATCCCCTGATGCAGGACTAATTAGATGACATGCTTATGGCTTCATTTTAAGCATTGCACAATTCCTTGATTAGAATAATCTTGGATTAAAATTATTAGCATTCTCAACGTCAATTAAAACAAATAAAGAGGTGACTTGCGTAGGCTAAATCACATGCTCCAAGCAATGAAATTTTCAGAATAAATAAGACAAGTAAAACAATGCAAAATAGTAGCCTTCAATTTAATCCCTAGTCTAACAACAAGATGTAGGATGCATAGAAGGTACTCTCAATTCCTACAAATGACCAAGCTTAGCAAGAGCACTTGGAAGAGACTTTCGCGATTACAACAATCCACTGAGAATTTAGATTTAGAAGAAATAAAATGCAAGTGAAAAGGAGAACCTTTACTTAATGAGACGCGAAGATCTTCCACTTGATGTCTCCAACGTCTTCGTCCATGGCTTCCGTCGAAGCAAAATATGATACGTCTCTTGAATATGGGTCGGGGGGTCTACTTCCAAGTGTTGATTCCAAAACCTGAAATTGTGTTCAGGTTCTTCCTCAAGAAATCTGACATATTCCTGAATTTCCTCTCAAAAAAATATGAGAAGAAATTTAGCTTTCAATGTTTGGGAGGAAGGGATTAGAGGGAGCAAGAGTATGGAAGTGAATCACGAGTGATTAATGGTGGAGAGGAGATATGTGAGGGGAAGGGAATCAGGTATGGAGAAGCTGGGCCAGCGGTAATGTAGAGGAGATAGGGAATTTCTTTCCAAAACCGTGTGAATTGTTTTCAGAAAGAAATAAAGAGGTTTCTGGGTGTTTGAAATTTCGGCAAAGAGGAAATAAAGAGGATTTATGTTATTTCCAAAGGAGTCACTTGGCTTTTGGAAATAATTCCAAAGGTGGTCTTGATGGAGCCGGCGGCATGCATGGCAGAGGAGGATTCTAGTGCAGGTAATTGAGGTTTCTTAATTAGGATTTTGATTTAAGAAAGGTTTATTTGAAATCCACTTGTATTTGAATTTCAAACTAAACCCAAAACAAATACTTCCCTAAAATAGACGAATTATTTTAGGAAAGATTTTGAATTCAAATTCAAAGGGAATTTGAAATTCAAAATTATCCCAAAGTAATTTTCAGTCAATTAAGAAACTCAAGAGGAGAAAAGGCAATGGGGCCGGAGATGGGCAGGGCTGGTTGGCGGCTAGGGAATTGGTGCCGGCGGCCTAGGAGCTCGGGTAATGGGCTGGCCGTGGGTATTGACTGGGGATGAGGGGCTTGGTGAGGAGAATGGTTGACCGGCGGTGGAGGTACGGAGAGGGAAGAAAAGGGGAAAGGGAACCAAGAGCCACCAGTGACGACTGTTGGGCACGACGGGTGGCCTCTCCTAGGCTCCACCAAGATTTCTTACTCTCTCGCTTTCAAGCTCTCTCATAAGCTCCAAGAAGACAATGCAGGAAAATTATTTCATAATCATTCATTAACCATAATAGAATAAAGTGGGGCTTTAAATAGCCTCCTACAACATGACTCGAAACAAAAGACACAAACGCCCTTTGGGCTTACATACGACAACTCCCATAAGAGGGGTACTACCGGAAAGAAAACACATAAGCAACTAAATAAAATAAAATAAAATAAAATACAACGGTCACAATGCCACATAAGCAAATAACAAGCTACATGAAAATAAAAATACATCAACGACTCAAAAATATAAAGACTCGATCGTGGCCGTAGATCGGCGGCCGCGTCTCTGATAAACTCTCCATGATGATCTGATGTCCCCATCATCCCCAAAAGATGGAGTGATGTGATCTTGACCAAGCTTATCATCATCATCCATGTAACCATTCCCCCGATACCTCAAGCAATGTTTAAAATTGCGTAATCGGGTATTGAGGCGTTTTTCGTTCGTGAAGCGAGGCGTAAGCCTCAAGGCGTTTTGAGGCGTAAGCCTCAAAATTAAAAAATTGCGTAAACATAAAATGATAAATTTTGTATATACTAATGAGTAAATAATATATAAAAAATAAAAATGTACAAGATATGAAGTGAAATCAAAATATCCCAATAATAAGACAACATGAAATATAGTCCAACTCAAACTCCATCTTTCTCAAATCACAGTATTCTTTTCATTAACATATAATTCCAAAAATAAATAGCAATGACATATCACATAAGAACTCATAAGTCATCAGCACTGTCATCACCATGTTTAAAAATGTGCAATTAGGTATTGAGGCGTTTTTTTTTTTGCAAGGCGAGGTGTAAGCCTCAAGGCATTTTGAGGCGTGAGCCTTATAATAAAAAAATTGTGTTAAGTGCAAATAAATGTTAAAAGTAAATTTTTATATAATACTCAAATAATATGTTAAAAAACTGCGACGGGTTAGAGGTTAAGGAAGTTGAGAGGACGTTACTGTGACTAGGGGATACACGAAGTGTGATTTATTTGCGGCTTTACTTCAGGATTTATGTAAGTTTTAATATATATCGGGTGAGGCGTAAGCCTCACGCCAATGAGGCGAGGCGCGCCTTAAGGCGGGCCTGAACCAAGTTGAGGAGCAAGCCTCAGGAAAAAAAAACTCGAGGCGTAAGCCTCAAGGCGGTTTTCACTGGAATTGCGCAAAGACGGGCCTCAAGGCGAGCCTCATATTGCGCAATTTTAAACCATGACCTCAAGGACATTTATATGAATGATATTTGCTTAATGCAAGTATCAGTATGTTGAGCCTAACATTAGAATATAACTCAGCTGCTTTATTATCACAATTTATTTTTAATGGTCTCTCAATGCCATCAATAATATGTAGCACTGTGATAAAATTTCGCAGCCATATTCCTTGATTTGAAGCCTCATAACAAGCTATAAACTCTGCAAAGAGAAAATTAACTGATGAGAATTCCTTTATGTTATGGCACAAGCGTTTGGGATATATTTCAAAACAAAGAATTGAAAGGCTTGTGTCAGATGGAATTCTTGATTCTCTTAATTATACTGATTTTACTTTAATCGAGAGTGGCCTCTTAATTAGAAGAGATAGCTATGATGGCTTACATTCTTAGAAAGTCTTAAACTTAAATTTGAGCAAAACTGTTACAACCAGTTGAAATCTAGTGATATCAATGTACCTCCTAAAAGGTTCTCAATAAGGATACAAGAGGGTTTGGGCTACTTATCAGAATCCACAGCACGGGCTGCTTAAGGTTTAGTTTACTTTTCATCCCAGAGGTCGAGCTTATCTGTTTTCCAATTTTATAAACTTGGTCTCTTACTAGTAAATTTTCACAAACTAACTATTTTAATAGGCCATATACATTTTACTTGCTTTTCTCCTAATCATATTACTTTTGATTACAATTTTCTGTGGTTATGAAACATTAAGTGAAGCACTGGCATGTTTTTTAGTAAATATGATGCTGAAACAGAACTGCATGTAGGTGACTATGGAACCGTAGTTGTTCATTCTGAAGGAGGATCCATTCGTGAAATCGAATCTCATGATTCCGACAAGCAGGATTTCTTACTTGTTCAAGGTGATAGCGGAAGATCTGTCAAGCATGATTTTGGAGGGCAGTCCATACAAATGTGGTATGCTGAAGTTCTAGTTAGTTCTGCTTTTTATGTACCTTCAACGATGTTGTAGTTATTAATCATCCTTTTTTTTTCAAGTTTGAATTTATTGTTTGTTGATACATTTTTAGCGGAACTGCTGGGACTATGTTAGGAAGCTATATTTTTTTTACTCTTGCGTGAAAAATAAGTTATTTTCTTTGATAATATAATAATGACATCATGCTTACATGGTTCTGATCTGTCGTGAGATTCAAACCTAAAGTTGATTGCAAATTGTTTTATAAAGCAAAATCTGCCCCAACCATCAGAAAGAATTGAATTGATTGCTGTACTCATGTTTATATCCATGATTTTGCGTAAAACCAAAATGGTAAAATGAAAATTAATGAATGCATTGAAATGTTTTTATAACAATTGAAGCATCATGGAAAGATATTTTGAATTTGTGTAACATGGAAATATCCAAAATATTATAAAGTTACTATCGTAGATTTATTTAGTTACTAGCTCAAGATCTTATTAATCCAACTTCAAATGCCTTGTACTTTATTTATGTCGCCTTCTTAAAAATTTTATTGTCTAGGTCACTCCCTCCTTCGTAACATCTTTAGGGTTTCATTCATTTTCTCTCATTTGTTTATAAATTTAAAATTAGAACTTGTGAATATGATAAACACCATCTCGTCTCCTTTCTTATGTCCATATCTTCTCGTAATATTGCGCTTTGACATGCTAAATTGAAATATCTTGGGTCTAAATCCTTTATCCACTCATTTGGATTTTTCATTACTTTATTTCTTTTACCTATAAACACATACTTGGGTTTGTTTATTGAAGTGTTGGTCATAAGTTTTTTTTTAAAAAAAAAAAAAATATTTAATCAATTTTATCAAGAAGTAGAAGTTCAAATTCTCCCTCATATTAAAACCCTTCGTATTGATAATGCTCTTAAATAGATGTTCTCTATTTAACTATTTTTGCGCTGGCAATAGTTTTATTAATTAATTGTCATGTCCTTGCACAGTTGATGCCAGAGCCGTGCTGTAACCATTTTGGGTCGGGTCCTGTACATAACTTCAGTTGTATGTGTTTTCTTTTATTTGTCTTTGGTGTGGCCAACCTTGTGGTCCTATTTGTATATAAATAGTGTAAGTATTGAATAAAGGAGGACGGTGATTTTAGTTTTATTTTTCCTGAATTCCTTTGGGAGTGGTTCCTGTTTCTTGACGTCTGTCAGGTCGTGGTTCTTTTCCTATTTGGTTTGGTTAGTCCCTCACAGGGCTGGAGCGTTCCTCCCATCTTCTCTTTTTAATCCAATTTTCTCCTGAAGATCTTACTGATCTTGTTGGCCGTGACTTTTCGGTGCCGGTTCGGTGTCATGTGGTATCAGAACCAGCAAGATGCTGCCTCGACGAAACCCTCAATAACCTGTTCAAGAAATCATGATTAAAGATTTGCAATGAGAAATTGCCCAACTGCAACAACGCCTAGCTAGATGCGAACAAAGAGAACCGGTGGCTCATCAAGATGTGGAAGAAGATGTCAACCCTTTTCACCAAGAAAGCTCCAGTGAAGATGAAGCTGGGAGACGAACGTTTGGAAGAAATAATAGAAAACTACCACATGATTATGGAATCAAGATCGAACTCCCAGAATTTGATGGTCGAGTGGGTCTTGATGAGTTCATTGGCTGGTTGCAAATAGTTGAAAGAATTCTAGAGTTCAAAGAAATACCCGCTTACAGGATTGTCAAGCTCGTAGCAATCAAACTCAAGAGAGTTGCGTCTTTATGGTGGGAGAACTTGAAAAGATCAAGAAATTGAGAAGGAAGAAGTAAGATCATGTCTTTGCTGAAAATTAAGAGAGAGTTGTAGCGAAAATATGTTCCAGATCAATATAAGCATGACTTGTTCTTGAAGTTTACACAATTACAACAATAACAAATGACCGTAAAAGACTGTGTCTGAATTTGAACAGTTGTCCTTAAAGTGTGACATTGTAGAGCCTGAAGAACATACAGTTGCCCGTTTCTTGGGAGGGTTGAATTCTACAATCACTAACGTCATCCAGCTGCAACCTTACTGGACCTTTTAGGACATAGTAAATTTGGCTTTAAAAGTGGAGAAACAATAGAATCGACTCAAGAAATGCACTAGTAGGATCTTGACGCCTGATTCTTTAGCAGATAAAGAATTTAAGACAAACAAGTATGCAGCCGGACCCAGTAAACCATTCGAAGATCGTCCTACCCATAACCCGCCACGTATAAACCAGCCTCAAACTCCCTTTTCGGCATGCAAATGCTTTAAATGCCAAGGGTACGGGCATAGAGCTTCTAACTGCCTCAATCGCCGGGTCTAATGGAAGAACCAAAAATGGAAGAAGTGGGTATTACCCCAGCTACAGAGCCAACCAAGGCCGAACCGACATATATGAAAGGTGATGAGGGACACCTGTTGGTCTTGTGGCATGCTTTGAATATACACTAGGGAGAGTTGTGGCTTTGCCACAGTATCTTCCGAACCATGTGTACAATCAATGACTGAGTATGCTATGTGATTATTGATGGCGGGAGTTGCGAAAACGTGGTCGCTGACCTCATGGTGGACAAACTTTAACTAGCTACAACGGATCATCGAAAGCCTTATTCACTTAATTGGATCCAGAAAAATTCTGAAGGGCAAGTGTGCAAAAGATGTTTGGTGAATTTCTCAGTGCTACTACCTTCCCATAATCAACAAATTGTGCTACTACCTTCCCCAGTTAAGTTACTAGGGGACTCTTCCTCATCTACATTATTTAACCAGACCCTATTCCTCAAAGATTGTGAACTGCACAAGAAGGTCTTCTAGTACTTTTATCAGAAGAAAATGTGCCACACCAATTGTTGCCCGAAGCAGTTAGCCCCTTGTTACAATCATACGAAGATGTTCTAGTTCCAGAGTTACCTTATGGATTGCCACCACTTTGGGATATTCAACATCAAATGGATCTCATACCAGGTTCTATTGTACCCAATAGATTGGCCTATCACCTCCGTCCTGATGAACACTTGGAGCTCCAACGCTAGGTCAACGAATTGATTGTCAAAGGATTTGTACGCCCTATTGGTAGTTAAATGATTTCTCAAGTTTTTTTCTAGTGCATTAATTTATTCTCATAGGGTGTTCTTTCAATTGATATTCCAATAGAGGCGTGGAAATTCTTAGGAGATGAAAGAATTTCTTGGCTTACTAAACTTTTTAATACTAATTTGAAGACTAAAAAGATGCCAGATGAGTGGAGAATGAGTGCGTTAATTCCTATTTTTAAGAATAAAGGTGATGCACAAGATTGTGCGAATTATAGAGGAATTAAGGTAATGTGTCATACTTTAAAACTATGGGAGCTAGTTATGGAGCATAGGTTGCGACGTGATACTAATGTTTCTCAAAATCAATTTGGATTCATGCCAGGTAGGTCGACTATGGAAGCCATACATTTATTAAGAGGTTGATGGAGAAATATAGAAAAAATAAGGAGGATCTACATATGATATTTGTTGATTTAGAAAAAGCATATGATAAAGTTCCAAGAGAAGTGCTATGGAGAGTTCTTGAAAAGAAAGGAGTTAATAATGCTTATATTCATATCATTAAAGATATGTATGCTGGAGCTATTACTTGTGTTCAAACACAAGGTGGTTTGACCAAGTATTTCCCTATTTCGGTTGGGTTACATCAAGGATCAGCCTTAAGCCCATATCTTTTTGCTTTAGTCATGGATGTTCTCACTAGACATTTGCAAGAGGATGTACCTTGGTGTATACTTTTTGTTGATGATATTCTTCTTGTTGATAAGACTAGAGAGAGTTGGAAGATAAACTTGAATTATGGAGGTCAACCATAGAGTCTAAAGGTTTTCGCTTGAGTAGATCTAAAATGGAATATATGGAGTGTAATTTTAGTAGTAATAGACCTAGTGAGGGGATTGTTATTTTGGGCGATCAAGTCATTAATAAGAGTACACGTTTAGATACCTTGAATCTATTGTTCAGAGTGATGGTTAGATGTATTAGATTTGACTTATGTTAAGAAATGTAGAGGCAGACCTAAAAAGACTTGGTTAGAAAATATTAGGAATGACCTTTCTGTATTAGATTTAAACGAGAATTTGACTTCTAATAGGACAATGGAGAAAAAAGGATTCATGTAGCTGACCCCACATAGTGGGATAAAGGCTTGATGTTGTTGTTGTGGGTATTCTTTCAATTCTTATTTTCAAATGACCTAAATAGGGTTTGTGGTATTGTCATGAAATTAGAGATAATATTTATTAAGACAGATTTATGGGTAGGAGAAAATTTATAAAAATTGTGTAATGGGAGATAAGATACGTAGGAAAATGTTTAGTGATTAGTTGATTATTGTTGATAATTATTATGAATCTTGAACCTGTTGTAGATTTTTTACTAAGCTTATTTTTCCTTGTATAGGTTTAAGGTATATTATTAGGGGTGTTAAAATGGATTTTCGGTTGAGTTCAGGTCCAACCCTCAACTGATCCAACCCGAACTCGACACGATTAAACAAATGGTTGCGAGAACTACAAGGATCTCCAAAGGTTGAAGAAGGAAATGCTCTTACTGTCCACAGCAGTCGAAACCCCTTACATGTTGAAAATCGACATCAAAAGAGGGAGGAAGACCATGGTTTGATCACTATGCCAAACCAGGACATACAAAAGAGACATGTTGAAAGATTCATGAAAAACCAACTGATTGGAAGGCAAATAAATCAGCACAAGAAAGCAAGACGAACTCTGTCAACACCATGCAAGATCAATCCATCAAAGCTGAAGCTATTCTTTTCACCATGGAGCATTTAGAGATGCTGAAGTTGTTTCTTAACAACATCATGAACCAATCATCTCTAGAACCTGCTTACCTGCTTACACGCTCACTCAGGTATGAAATAGTCAAAACTCTGGGTTATTTTCAGGAACATCATATCACTTGACAAGAGACATTACACTCC